TAGGTGTTAAAGGAGTGTTTGATTGTGTATATATGTACCAAAGGGCAATGTGTACCAGTATTTAATCCTGAATGTTGTAAACAGATTGTCGGCAAATGAAGTGTATCACACATGTCATATGTTATCGGTAGATCACAGCCTATGTCATGTTCTATTTGTAGATTGTAGTTTATGTCATGTTTTACTGGTAGATTATAATCTATGTCATGTTTTACTGGTAGATCGTAATCTATGTCATATTTTATCAGTAGATTATAGTTTATGTCATGTTTTACTGGTAGATTATAATCTATGTCATGTTTTATCGGTAGATTATAATCTATGTCATGATTTATCGGTAGATTGTAATCTATATCATGTGTTATCGGTAGATTATAGTCTGTCATGTTTTGTTTATTTAGTAGACGATAGTATATGTAATGATTTCTGTTTTTCCTAATGTTTCTGCTGTCAAGATTTTCTAATAAAAAACGGAAATTTATCAAATGATGTAAGAACTTGTTTGTTAATAAATGACAACCGATTTTTACACAAGTGTAAATTAACAATGATAAAAAGGCAACATGTAATTGCACTGTGATATATTTTTACCCTGCAAGACAAATATTTGGGAAATGATGGGCGTGTCATGAGGGACGGTGATATAAAAGAAGTCAAAATGTGGAAAAGGAATAAAGAGATAGCAATGTTCCTGAAATTGTTTCTTCGAGTTCTCCCCATATGTACGACATTAACAAAGACGAAACCCCTCGATTTAGAGGTTACTCAACATCAGATCACTATACGACAACGCAAGGGATACAGCAGATACAGCTTTCCCCCAAACATGCACATGTAAATATGAGAGTGAAGAAATACTAGTTATGTCATAAAATGTTAAAGGGTAGTCTCAACGTCCAAAAAACAGATTTAGTTCACACAGGGCAAAGGATATTCTTCACGTCACATAACCACAATAGGATCCTGAAGAGCCTCATAGTAATCTTAACAATCTATCATCACAGTAAGGTCATACAGAGCCACATAGTAATCTATACAGTCCATCAACACAGTAATGTCATACAGGACCACATCGTAGTCTAAACAGTCCATCAACACAATTAGGTAATACAGGGCCACATAGTAGTCTGAACAGTCCATCAAAACAATAAGATCATACAGGACCACATCGTAGTCTAAACAGTTTATCAACACAATAAGGTCATACAGGACCACATAGTAGTCTAAACAGTCTATCAACACAATAAGGTCATACAGGACAACACAGTAGTCTTAACGGTCCATCAACACAATAATGCCATACAGGGCCACACAGTAGTCTAAATAGTACATCAACACAATAATCTCATACCGGACCACACAGTAGTGGTCCCGGACCAGCAATACAATACGTTTATAGAGAGTTTCAACGTCACATAGCTACACAAAAAAAAGTTTATAATAATCACCACAATACGAGAAAATTACACGGGAGACAATGACGTTGATGACACATCTTAGCTGCCTGTCGGTAACACATCCTGGCAAACGGTTATTATTGTAAAACTGTGATAAAAAAACAGAAATTTAATTAACCTATATCATACAGTGATATCAGCTACCATCAAGAGGCTAGTAGGAACAACCTGTTACAGTAGCAGATCTCGATGTTTTTTAAAAATATTTTTGTGATAATTAAGCATGTAATATAAAGATGATCTGTCATAAGTTTACCTTTATTTTCGGTTTATGATACAAGATTTGGATGTTCCATGTTTATGACCCTTTAATATGAAGGGAAACAAATTATTTGTATCATATAATACAAAGTAAACTGTATAATTGTGATCTGAAACGAGTAGTTTGCACATGGCGGCCTCTGAAACGATGAAAACTGCGTCCGCTTCACAATGACGTAACGTCACATTGATTGTTCCTTTTCGATTGTGACGTCATTTCCAGAGTGATATTACACTCGTTACATAAACATGGTTTATGTGATGGCGTTGTGACACTGCATAACACGGTATTCATATGATACCAACTAATATCTATGTTGTCATCCGTCAGAGCTCTGCATTATAACATTAGCCTCCGTGTTTGGGGCCATAATGACTCAACCATCCATCATGTTTTGCAAAGAGCCTGATTAAAAACGATATGAAATATCCACTTTCCTCACGGTCAACATTCTCTAACAAATATAACTTTTGTTTAAAATGCGAACGAGACAGCTACAGTGTATTTGAAACGTATGAGGAAAATACGAATACAGGTTGCTGCCAATCAATCAGTATCGTAATAACAGATGCCAAGGTAAATATGGTTTCTTATAAATTTCTGAATCGTCCGAAACGTAATGCATTACCTCATAAAATGCGTCAAAGAGTTATCATGTCTCATAACAAGGGTTCTTAGTTCATATTTAGGAGATAGAAAATCGATTCAACTTCTTAAAGGACATTTTTTGTATTTATGTTTGTTGATGGAGTTCAGTATCAGTCAATACTTTATCAATAAGTTGTAATATACCTATACTTTTGAATGTGAAAACCAATTTTATTGTGATTGATGAAAATACAATGTAAAGCAAATGCTGAAAAATTGGTTTCAACACACATGTTTCGTTGTTATACAATGCTGACTACGTAGAGGGATAGGAATATCACATCAATATCCAGACAATGATAAACCCTTCTGGGTATTTGTATATCAACTTTGATGATTTAGAGTAGTAGCTCATCAAAATATATCTGTCGAGAGAAACAAAAAGTCAATTGAATCAAAAAAGCCAAGAATAGTAAATTTGACATTGAAATATCACGAGAGTCCAGACATTGTAACGAACATCTATCTACAAGTGGATCTCCCACTTATATAAAGTCCTATAGGTCGATCACAATCTGTTCAAAGATGGCTGCGGCCCTTTTTATGTTGTTTGCCTTCAATTTGAACATAATTCTTCATCATGTGGACTAGTTTTAAGCAGATAATCAATATCAATATCCCTGAGGTCATCAATGCTGAGTACTTCGGCCATGCACAGTTTAGATAAGATTGATTGATTATAAATGTTTGTTGATCTCGGTGTGTTTTGATGCGGCAGTTTTGCGGGGTATGGTTGTAATTGGCAGATGTGCAACGTCTATAGCACTCGGGAATATTTCGCTTGACGTGGCATAACTCTAAACTCTCGTTCATAGCCAGTTAGTATATTTTTCATTGGCTGCATCCATTAAGCTGACAGTTATCTGAGATGAAGTCATTTTTCTGTGAATTTGTTTTTATGTTTTTCTGTGTATTTTGTGTTGCCACTGTAGCTCTATGACAGCGATAACTTCTTAACATTCTGATATTTTTTTTTGGTCGTTTTCTCTGACGTTTCCGATTCTTTGGTTGCTTTTTCCGTGACAGAAGTGCTTTTTCATATGATTCCGATCTTTTGTTTTTTTATTGATAGAGGTGTTTTTTTTCTTATATTTGATGTGTTAGTTGATTTTTGTGACAGAAGTTTTTTACTGTTAAGATCCCAATGTTTTTGGGGGGGTTTTCTGACAGAAGCATATTGTTTTGATTCTGCTGTTTAGTACTGTTATATGACAGAAGTGTTTTGTCTCATGATTCCGATAACTTGGTTGCTTTTTCTGACAAAAGTCTTTTTCTTATGTTCCGAGTTTTGTGGTAATATTATCTGACAGAAGTGTTACTTTTATGAGGTTGATGTTGTGGTTTCTATATACGACAGAAGTGTTTTGTCTCATGATTCCGATATCTTGATTATTTTTTCTGACAAAGGTCTTTTTGTTATATTTCGAGTTTTGTGGTAATTTTCTCTAACAGAAGTGTTACCATTATGAGTTTGATGCTGTGGTTTCTATATGTGACAAAAGTGTTTTTATTCTGTGGCTGGAGAAAGAGAATTCCGACTCCAGTCCACATTTCTGAAATAGTTTGGTCTATTATGATTTTATGTTTGTAAATTGTTTCAATATTTTCAGCACTTCGACAGAAAATAAATCCGATATCATTTCGTACATTGTTCAGCTGTCTATTCGGGACAATGGGAAGAGATGCGAGGATAATTACATGTTTGTTATTTTTAGTTAGTATTAGTAAAATGAGTATTTTT